AAAGATGAATGTGCCTTTTGTCATAAGAAAGACCATTGGAAGAAAGATTGTCCGAAGCTGAAGAAGAAAGGAAAAGCTGCTCCAGATGCATGTGTTGCAGAGCATGATGCACATGACTCTGACATATCATTGGTTGCTTCATTAACAACATTCCATTCCGATGAGTGGATATTAGATTCGGGTTGCACCTATCATATGTCCCCTAATCGGGAGTGGTTCTCTGATTTAGTGGAACTAAATACAGGAGTTATTTATATGGGCAATGACAATGCCTGTAAAACTATTGGGATAGGTTTAATTCGATTGAAGAATCAAGATGGATCAACCAGAGTTCTGACGGATGTCCGATAGGTGCCCAGTTTGAAGAAAAATCTCATCTCGTTAGGAGCCTTAGAATCCAAAGGCTCAGTAGTCACTATGAGAGATGGAGTTTTAAAAGTCACATATGGCGCACTTGTGATGATGAAGGGCATCAGGAAAATATTACTACCAAGGTAGTACAATTATTGGAGCAGTTGCAGCAGCTTCCGGAGGTGATGATTTGGACGCAACCCAGTTGTGGCATATGCGGTTGGGACATGCTGGGGAGAAATCCTTGCAAATTCTGGCAAAGAAAGGATTGTTGAAAGGTGCAAAGGCTTGCAAATTGAACTTTTGCGAGCATTGTGTTCTGGGAAAGCAGAAGAGAGTGAAGTTTGACACCACTATACATAATACAAAAGGTATTGTAGATTATATTCACTCAGATGTATGGGGTCCTTCAAAGACATCGTCTTTGGGAGGAAACCATTATTTTGTAACTTTTGTAGATGGCTTTTCCAGAAGAGTTTAGGTGTATCCGATGAAGTCTAAAGATGAAGTGCTTCAAATTTTCCTGAAATGGAAAAATATGATCAAGAACCAGACTGGTAGAAAGATCAAACGTCTTAGGACGGACAATGAAGGGGAATATAAAAGTGACCCATTCTTTGACGTTTGCCATGAGTATGGTATTGTTCGACACTTCACTGTTAGACATACACCACAACATAATGGGGTGGCAGAGCGTATGAATCGAACACTATTGGAGAAAGTTCGATGTATGTTGTCTAATGCTGGGTTAGGCAAGGCATTTTGGGCTGAGGTTGTGCCATATGCTGGCCATCTCATTAATCGTCTGCCGTCATCAGTGATAGGAGGAAAAACACCATTGGAGGTATGGTCTGGAAAACCTGCTACTGATTATGATTCCTTACATGTATTTGGATCCACTGCTTATTATCATGTGAAGGAATCTAAGCTTGATCCAAGAGAAAATAAGGCTCTCTTTATAGGAATCACCCATGGAGTGAAGGGATTCCGCCTTTGGTGTTTAGACACCAAGAAGATAATTTGTAGCAGAGATGTTACCTTTGATGAATCTGCCCTAGTAAAGAAGGTAACAAGTGAAGCTGTCCAGACAAATAGTACTCCGCAGCAGGTGATGCATACTCCAAAACAGGTGGAGTTTCAGCAGATGATGATCCCAGAAGTTGATGCAGCTGATTCTTCAGCTCCAATAGAAGAATCAAAAGATAAAGAGGTTCAAACCCAAGAACCATTAGAGACACCAGAAACACTTGCAGTTACAAGGTCAATGAGAGAAATTCGTAGACCTGCTCGATTTGTTGATATGGTGGACTGTGCTCTTCCAGTTGTTGATGATGATATCCCTATCACTTACCAAGAAGCAATATAAAGCTTGGAAAGTGATAAGTGGAAAAGTGCCATGGATGAAGAAATGCAATCTCTCCAAAAGAACGACACTTGGAAACTTGCACAATTACCGAAAGGTAAAAGAGCCATTGGATGCAAGTGGGTATTTGTAAAGAAAGATGGATCTCATAACAAGAAAGATGTTCGCTACAAGGTACGGTTGGTAGCTAAAGGCACGGTTGGTAGCTAAAGGCTACGCTCAAGAGGAGGGAATCGACTACAATGAAGTATTTTCCCCTGTTGTGAAGCATTCCTCCATTAAAATATTGTTGGCCTTGGTAGCACAGTTGAATTTGGAGCTAGCTCAACTTGATGTAAAGACGGCTTTCTTACACGGTGATGTAGAAGAGAAGATCTATATGAAACATCCAGAAGGATACAAAGATGGTGGTTGTGAGAAATGGGTTTGTAAGCTGAACAAATCGCTATATGGATTGAAGCAATCTTCGAGGCAATGGTACAAGCGATTTGATAGCTTTATGAGGAGGCAAAAGTATACTAGAAGCAAATATGATCATTGTGTGTATTTGCAAAAGCTCAAAGATGGATCTTTCATTTATCTTCTCTTGTACGTTGACGATATGTTGATCGCTTCGAAGAGTCAAAAGGAGATAGACAAATTAAAGACTCAGTTGAATCAAGAGTTTGAGATGAAAGATATAGGTGAGACCAAGAAGATTCTTGGTATGGAGATAAGCAGAGATAGACAGAGAGAGAAGCTTTGTTTAACACAGAAGCAGTATCTGAGAAAGGTATTACAATGTTTTGGCATGAATGAAAATACCAAACATGTAAGTATCCCATTGGCTTCTCATTTGAAACTTAGTTCTCAATTATCTCCTAAAACTAACGAAGAACGAGTGTATATGGCAAAAGTTCCATATGCTAATGCAGTTGGGAGCTTGATGTATGCAATGGTGTGTACGCGTCCTGACATTTCACAAGTAGTTGGAGTTGTGAGTAGGTACATGCATGATCTTGGAGAAGGACATTGGCAAGCTGTGAAATGGATTCTACGGTATCTCCAACAAACCGTGGATGTTGGTTTAGTTTTTGAACAGGATGAAGCACTTGGTCAGTGTATGGTTGGATATGTTGATTCCGATTATGCTGGTGATTTGGATAAGCGTCGATCAACTATTGGGTATTTTTTTACTCTTGCTAAAGCCCCAGTAAGTTGGAAGTCTACATTGCAATCTACGGTGGCCTTGTCTACTACAGAGGCAGAATACATGACAGTTTCAGAGGCTGTAAAGGAAGCAATTTGGCTTAACGGGTTGATGGAAGACTTGGGAGTTGTTCAAAGTCACATTAGTCTCTATTGTGACAATCAGAGTGCTATTCACTTAGCGAAAAATCAAGTCTATCATTCAAGGACTAAGCATATCGACGTGAGGTATCACTTTGTGCGGGAGATCTTTGAAGAATGAAAGATTCTACTTCAGAAAATTGCGACATCAGAAAATCCTGCAGATATGATGACCAAGGTGGTAACAGTAATCAAGTTCAATCATTGTTTGAACTTGATTAACATCCTGAAAGTATGAATACCTTCGGGTGTGTGGCGCTTGTGAGCACAATTAGAGGCACTACAAATTTGGGGAGTTGAAGAAGTTGAGTAGGCTTGGTAATTTCAAGCCAAGGTGGAGATTTGTTAGATTTGTCTAGAAATTAAGTTGACAAGTTGGAAATTTCATCTTGGTTGGTGGCCAACTTATTGGAAATTTCATCTTGGTTGGTGGCCAAACTTTGAACATGTGAATTTCATATTTGGTGGCTAACTTGTACACATTGGAAAATTCTTTGGTAGGTGGCCAAACTTTGAACATATTGTTCTTGAAACTCAACTATAAATAGGCCTAAGTATTTCCATTAGAAATCATCCCAAAAACAAGTTCTCTCTTCCTCTTGTATTCTTCATTCTCCCACTTTGGGAATTCCAAAAAATTCCATTTGTTGTAATATTGGCGATATAGTGAAGTTATCATCCAGTGTGGTGCCCGAGGAGTAGACGATATTCTCGTCGAACCTCGTAAATTTGGTGTGTTCTCTCCTTTATTGTTTTTTATTCGGTTCTTTTCCATTGTGTTTCAATATTCAATAGTTTGACAGGTTTATCCGTTGTGCAACCTTTTGTGGTTTTAATCTTGACATTTTAGGTTAATTTTAAAACTACGTTCGTGTGGGAAATAACTCGTTTTCCCCAACAATCTCTACTTGTACTACAAGAAAGGGAGAGTAGGTGATGATCCAAATGCCCAGGAGCAACTCGAGGAATGGAAGGTTAGGCTCTTTGAGGAAGTAACAAGGAATGAGTTTGAGCCATGGGAAAGGGAGAAGAAGCTACTGAAATTTTATCCCATAGACATAGTAAACATCTCTTCATTCTCTGATTATAGCCAATTATATTGATTTTTTTCTTTTCTTCACATGATATCTTTTTCTATTTGGTTTCCTTTTATCCATAAGGATGATGGGGTCGATGTGAGATGCGGAGGACTCGGCCTCCGACAACTAGGGGTTGCAGCAGCACATTGTAAACTTGAGCCAACTGTTGCAAACTTCATGAAGTTTCTTTACACTCAGGAGATTTACAAGTATCTTCTTTCAACCATGGCCATAATCCATTCTCTTTACAGATCTGATTTAACCTGTCCTGTACTTCACTGGACAGGTATGCACTGATGGAGATGGATCTAGATGCCCCTGATTTACTAATGGGGATGCTTTCTAATGTTCATTTGAAAAGATGTAAGAACCCATTATTTCACCCTACTGTCTCCTGGTTTACTTCTTCCTCTTCTATATATTTTCATATCTTCAAAATCTTGGATTTAACATGGTGAAGAGGTTCTACTAGAGTTTGCAGAAAAAGTGAAATCGATGAAGGAATCTGGACCGAAAGCAGAGGTGGTTTGGTCCGACTTTAGCCAAAGATTGTTTTATCAGTAATTGATCAAATATTAATATATTTATTAATATTTGATCAATTACTCTATAGTAAATATAATAAATTTTATTATAGAAATAATATACTCAATTCAATTTATCTCGTTCTTTACAATTATTTGTTATTGTATTAATTATATTTAAATGACTATCAGATTCTAATTTTTGGTTTTGAAATTCAACTAAAGTATAATTCATGTCATGTTCGAATTTCAATAATACAGGATCTAAATTAATCTCGATATGGAATTGATCAATTTATATTTGTGAACAACATTGGATTAATCCCCCTGTAAAACTAAAACTAAAACAAACCATTCAATGTAACAAAAATTAAGAATATATTTCAAGGAACATAACAATAATGCCATTTATATAGGGAACAATAACCACTGCATCTAAAACACTTTCTCCTAGTTGACCGGCCATCGGCCGGCGAGATCCAATGATCAATCTAAGTTTCATCAACCCAAATTCTGGAATTTTGACAGACAATTACAGAGAACCCCCTCCCCTTTTCTTTTTCTTCAACTATCTTTTTTATTTATATTTTTTGAAGCTTCTTACCCTTAACGAGAGGGTTAGCTTTGGCGATTTGTTCCTTTCCCATCCCTTTGAAATCAAAAGTACAAGCATGTTGTTCAGGGTACCTATGAATCCCGCAAAACACCATCCCACAGCTGCACTTGAACCCCGCGAGGCCCACGCGTTTCTTGCAACTCAAGCACCTGTTCGGCCTGACCTGAACCGTCTCTTCCACCACGGGCGTTTGCTTTGTTTCCGCCGCTGGTTCCTCCTCCGCCACTGCTAAGGATAGCGATGACGTTGACTCGGTCGATGAATGTGATGGAAACGAAGAAGAAGAAGACGCCGTCGAAGGAACGAAAGCTTGATTAAAGGCTTGTTTGGCATAGGAAGATTGTCGTTCTTTGAGCTGAAGATCCCGATAACATTTAGAACAAAGATTCTGAGTGGTTGGGCTTCCAAAACATCCGCAGTTGTTTGCACATAATTGCGGAGCTTGACATCTCTGTTCTTCCGCCATATCTTTTCAATCTCCTGAAAGAAAGAAAGAAAGAAAAGATTTGATAAAGGGAAAACAAATAAAAAGCCACAGATTCGAAACAAAGGAACCCAAAAAGATGGACAGAAAAATCACATGAGACGAGCGATTCAGAGGAAAATACAAAACCGAAATCTTCTTATAATCACAAGGGAAAGAAGAAAGGAATCGCTCTTTTTTTGTGGGGTAAGAAAAGAAAGAAAGGAGAGGGGGGATTTGGGCCAAGATTCCACACACTTCTTTTTCTCTTCCAATAAATATTACGCGTTAAAATTAACTTTTACCAGAAAAAAAATCAAATTAAAACAGCCACAATTTCGGGTGATATAATTATAATTACTACTTAGCCCTTAAACTACGTTACTTCTGTCCTCTCTTTTGTTTTTTAATATATGAAAATGCATTTTTTATACTTAATTGGGAGTGCCAAATCAAAACATTATGACGTAATGTTGCTCTAGAAGTGGGTCCGTTTTCATCTCGTAATAAATTGATACGATAATGACAATGGAGAAATTTCATTTTAATGGGCATTCCATGTTTGTATTTTGTTAATAAATATTGATTAATTCAATATTATTAAATTTTTTATATTCAATGTTTTTGTTATAATTTAATAATATTAAATCATGCTTGATATTGTCGAATAGCGAAGAACGGGGTAAGAGAAGATGTGTAATTTTGGGTTGTCTAGGAAAGATGAACTAATATACGGTTAAAATAAAGTGTGACCGGATACATTATAAAATATTTAATAAATTCGATTTAGAGTTATCAAAAATATTGAGTAATAATAATGTTGTAAGTGAATCATGAAGAAATATTAAAAAATTTGGCAACCGATAAATTTAGTTTGTTGGTATATATCGATACAAATAAAAATATATCGATACATAAAAATATAACAGGTAAAAATATGACAAAACCGGTTATATTATGACAAAACCGGTAAAGCGCTACCGGATATGTTGAAAGTATCTATTCTATTGAAATAAGTATCGACACTTTTGGAATTTAAAATAAAAGCAGTAATAGCGCCTATAAAGTGTCGATACAAATAAAAATGTATCGATCTATAACAATATAACATGTAAAAATATGACATGACCGGTTATGTTATATTTTGTAATATTTTAGGCGTTTACCTAATATGTTATAATAACAAATTAAGTAATTAACCTATTGTATTATATAAGCGCTACCTATTACGTTGTATAAACGCTATTTATTATGTTATTGTGCTTGATAATATTTTTGATTAAATGATATAACATAATCGATTTATATTTTAACCGATTACTTATTTAATCATAATATATTTTTTTAACTGTTTTTTACAGTAGAATTTCCGTAATTTTCAGCCAAAGAGAAAAAAATCAAAATCTTTTTTCCAATTCTCATCCGGATACGTGTTTGGACTAGCAATGTCCAGCGCCGTAAAACCCACTCTAGCCCAGACATCCTCAACAGATTACCATAAATATACTCTTGTTTTCAAAAGATTATCGATGACTTTATCAGCTAAAAATATCAGGTGCGTGTTTAAATTTATATCATTTTTTTAAATAGGCTTTTTAATTATTCATGTTATTAACGGTATTATTTAAAGTGTTCGGATTGTAGTGACTGTTAAATTCTATCATTAAATGACACGTTTTATGTTTTGATAATTTTAAAAAATTATTTAAAATAAAAAAATTATATATATTTAACAAAATCTCAAAATTTTTGAAAAACTTCAAAAACACCTCAAAACTTTGAAAACTCCAATTTTAATCCCTAAACCCACTCCAATCATTTTCGTTTGACGTCAATCGAACCTCCACCTTATGACAAGCCAAACCCGATCATAAACGCCACGTGTCCGACGAAGGAAACAACAAAACTGTGGCCCAAAATCACGTCTCCTATGAACTCAAACATCTAAATTTACAAACCCTAAAACCACAACATCCAAGCAATCCAATGACATGCACGAAGGCAAGAGATACGACGACTGGCCAAGGAGATAACAAAGGCGACATCAAAGATGGCGCATGACCGGCAAGAGAGGTTAGGGATAAAGTTAGGGTTGTGGTTTTTTAAGAGATTTTGGGAATTTTATTTTGTAATTTTAAAAGATTAGAGTTTTTATAAATATAATATTTAAAAAAATTACAATAACGTAACACATATCACTTAACGGAACTTTTTAACGGTTGATACATCTCGAACACTTAATATGATTAAATGTAGCGTTAGACAATTAGATGATTCAAAAAAAAATTAACATCAAAAAAAATTTAACACATTTTTTTTAAAATAATATAATTTAAATATTTATTTTATAATTAAACCTTTCCAAGTACTAACAATGACCCTTAAGCTTTAAGTCGCGCTACAATTACTTGGTGGTCGCGCAGGCAAGAAGTTGTAAAATGTTCGGAAAATAAACATGACAGCTAGTTGAAGTCGTAACACTAAAACTCATTGAGTTTAGACTTTTAGGTGCAAATTGCGAACGAGTCAAAATTTTAGGTTCTTTTATTATTTAAGACCACATATGACGTGGTGAATCAAGTCCATCTAATAATTTTTCTTATTTCAAGGTCGGTAGGATATATTTCAACAGCTTATCATCAGAAACAGCATACTCGAGAAATTTTAAAGCACACTGACTGGAATGCTAAATAATTCAGAATTCACGAAACATGACAGAATAATTCAAGTAATGTGATAACATGAAAAGATTGGAAGTACTATAATCTAAGAAAATGTGAGTTTTACAACTATGAAAACAAGCTGTCCATGGTGTGCCTGCCTCTCTCCTATTCGAGCATGAGGCAACCCAAAGGTTGGTTCATCGGAAAAGATAAAACTGAAGCCTCTATTTCGTTACGGCAACAATATATGCATTCCAAGCATCCTCTTGAGGGAAAGTTTTTACCTCTTCATACTTCAAATCTCGGGCAATTCCAAATCCCTCTGTGCATCTGTTTTCATTAGTGTCTGGCATCTTTCGAAGCCAGAAATGGACCGATGGAAATCCGGCCTCTTCTAAACAGTCTCTAATCTCCGGCAACGACCACCTGGACATTTAAACCGCTATGCTATCAAATCCAAAGGGAAGTTTTTGAACTGAAAGGAGAAACCTGACAGTAACGTGGCATCATAAACTAGAAAATACAATGGGGGTTTAACAGAACTTACAGCCTCCAACTGTATGAAAATGCATGGCGAAGTTTCTTCTGCTGCTTTTGAAGATGAAAGTGGAGACTGATCCTTGTTTTGCGTTCGATGATGTCAAATTCAGCTTGCTCCCAAGTATACTGCACACATTGCATTAAATGTTACAGTATGGATATCATAACATGAGATGTCCGTATTGGTGGCTTGCACTTATGAAGAAAACGAAAATAAACCAGAAATTGAAGCAAAATAAAACTTTTGTTACGCCTGGGGGAAGTTAAACCCTCTAAACCTGAATGTACCACGGAAAGGCAGACCGAATGTATACAACTTTTTATGTGAAATCCCTAAACAGTACTTTGCATTAACATGGTTGTATGGGCAGAATAACTATACCGTAAAATTGGGAAATCTCCTTTGAAGTCTTAAGGACTGCTCGGACGATGTTCCACCATATAAATCCATCACGAATATACCACCCTTTTTAGACAAGGCTTCAAGAACATGCTTGAAATACAAAACAAGTTCCGCACGTTTATGAAGACAACAACAGCTGTAATTAAAAGCACATATAATGTCTCTTGCAGGTCTTTTAGCATCCGCCTTAATGGACTCTTCATTCATCGAAACAGTAGAACCCTCAAGCATGTTATGTTCTGTTGTAGCAATCTTGGAATCATAATCACCTTCCTCCAGCTGAATGTTCCTTATCAGTTCTTGGGCCTCGAAGCCGATTAATCTTGCCTCTCGAGGATTCAGTACATTCCCATGAAAGAGGGATATTCTGTAATACCCGTCAGCCCCAACTTTGTTGATGTTGTTCTCCAGGCACCACTGCAATGCCTCAAGGTCAAGATCCAATCCTACAGCTGTCCGTCTAGGATCACTTCGAAGCCACTCTGTACTGTCAAGCAGAGTATTCTCAATACTTACTATTTTGCACTTTGCAATGTGAATTAATAACCATACTAGAGAGAGAACCAAGAGAATAGACAACATCAGTTTTGAGTTGCTACGAATGACCAGACAGATTATCAAATATATAGGCAATCGAAGTTACTGTTTCACTAATTAACCAAACTATATCATCCATATATCGCAACTTATTACATAGGGTAAAAAACAACTATCTGAAGTAAAGATCCCCAACCCAGAGGCACTTCAGAAAGCAGTCTTGCCTGTGCCTTATACCCAAACATAAACCATAGAGACAGTAACCTGTTTTACCATTGCATTTACTTAAAACATATATGGTTTGATGACATTCCAGCGGCATAAGCTCAGATTCAAAATTTATGAAGCAAGAACATTTACAAAATGAAAAAAAAAAAAATTCAACAACAAAACTAGAGGTGACATGCATGAAGAATCTAATGGCGGCCTTGAAGACATACCTAAGAAGTGCAGTGCCACAGAAATCTTCTTGAAGATGCAAAGGCAATCTTCCACCCACATACATCAAAAAGAACTTCTGCAAATAGCTTATATCTCCTTTTGGTGACTGCATTCAACTAACAATTACTATTTTGATAAAAATATATATAATTAGTAACAAACATAAAATAATTAGAAAGAACCAATCTTTACACTACCTAAGACATTAATAAGCTACTCTGCATGGAATTCCCCGACTAATGCAAGACAATACTTTTTTCTTTGGATTTTACAAACTAAAACTGGCAAGGAAAAAAAAACCTAAACTTTTCTAATCTGCCCACTTCTAATATTCAATGAGCAATTATAATATAAAACGAAAAAAAAAACTCCGTGGGGTGATTATAACCTGTACTGATTGTTGGTAAAGAAGGAACTTTGATGGCATTTCAATTGACGGATTAGGGTCATTTTCTTCATCCTCTTCCTCTGGGTCTTCATCTTGTTCTTCTTGATGTTCTTCAGAATCTTGAGGAGGCTGTTGAAAACTGGAGCTTTCATCTTCGTAATCGTCATCATGTTGGACGGTGTAATAAGAGGCTGCACCTCTATGACTTGTTCTTTGTTGGTGCCTTTGTTTCTTGTCTCTCTTCCCCATTCTTTGCGTTTTTTCACGCTCTCTTTCTCCGCCGCCAAGCTAACAGCTTAAACCCCGCGCCATCATCAGTCCACCCCCAACTAGCAGCTTGAAGGAAAACGGGCTATGTAGCGTTAAGAATATCGATAAACTAAGCCCGTTTATTAATCAAAATTTCAGGGTAAACTATCTATTTACTTATTCATTTCAATTTTATTCAACCAATAAATTTATAAATATAAAAAAAGTTATTTATAATAATTTTATTAAATTTATATTTGATATATATTACATTATGCCATCAAAAATTTTATAAATATTAAAAAAATGAGAAACTTTAATATTTTATATTCTTCTAGATGTGTATATATTTTATAATTATGTAATACTTATATTTTAGTATATATGTAAATAAATAATTATTAATTAAAAATAAAATAAAGCAATATATTTTATAAAATTATTATCTATAACTTTACTTTAATATATTTTATAAAATTATTATTTATAACTTTACAAAATATAATTATTATTTATAACTTTACTTAAATATATTTTATAATATTTAAAAAATAAAATTTAAGTTATTTTTTTGACATAATGATGATATTTTAATCTAATTATAATATAGAGTAGATTGTAGATTATTTCTCAATTACAAGTTGAGCTCAAATTTTAAGGGTTGGATTTTTATTTACCTTTTACTAAAATAATGGTCACTTTTCATCCACAGTATCTAATAAAATATATAACAAAAATATATAAAAAAGTCAAAATGATATTATTAGTTTAAATATTTAAAATTATAAAATAACATATAATTCATAAATATTAAAATTTATAATTAATTTTATAACATAACATAAAAATCTAAAAAATATTATAAACACTAATTTTATGTATTTAATTATGTTATAGATTTAGATTTTTTATGTCATTATTTTTAAAAGAATATTAGTGATAAACTATTCTAATTTAATTTTAAAAGAAGTTGAAGGTTATAGGTTATATTTTTTTAATTCATGATATTTAATAAAACATACATTGGATTTTCGTCAAAAGGGGTGACCTAAAGATTGTATTTTCAAACCGTCGATAGTGACGATAATCGATATCGATCGATGACGAAAATAGTGAGTGGTGACCAGCGACGATAGACTTTGATCGAATTCATAAGTTAAATTGATATTTTATTTAAAATTTAGGGATCAAAAATAATATTTCATCTAAAATCAAGAATCAAATTAATATTTAATCAAAAAATTAAATATTAAATTAAAAATTAACTTATTTGACTAACATACCATGTTATTAAATTTATTAGAATTAACAACTTAATAACCCAAAAAAATAACCATCTATAATGAAAATGACCAAACTTTAATAATTTAATAATGTAACTAATCAAAAAGTATATATATATATATATATATATATATATATATATATATATATATATATATATATATATTAAATTTGATGAATAAACATATATAAATATGAAATGAAGTGGTCAGTTCTATAATTTATTCAAAGAAGTAATTTAAAAATGTTATAATATAATATTTTATATGATTTAATGGTAAAAAAATTAAACTTTTTTATAATATTGAACATCAAGCTTAAACTATGGGGATCTGTCTCTCTCAACTAAGTCGATCACCTCAGGCAGAGGGTCATTATATACTACCATTCTAATGGGATTTCCTCGAGCCATTGCTGCCAGCTTGTCTGCAACCATATTGGTCCTCCGATGGGTATAAATAACTCTTATCTCCCAATCTTTAAGGAGCAAATCTAGAATTAGCTTAACAATGGTACAGTCTTCTTTTTCCACAAGCTGTATTATTGATTAAATTCACAGCCGTCCTACAGTCGGATTCTGCCTCTACCTTCCGAAAGCTCATGTTCCAAGCAATCAGTAAGATATCATGGAGAGCCCATAACTCCGCGTTTAAAGCAGTGCAGATGCTTATACTTCTTGAAAAACCCCGAATCCAATTACCTTGATGATCGCACAACACTCCTCCTGTGGTTGTCGTTCCCGTCGCACCTCTCATGGCCCCATCAGCATTTGTTTTAACCTAGGTCTGATCAGGTTTTCTCCAGTGGTCATTATCCTTGTTCGAATTCCTTCCCCCAGGTTTATTCACCACCGTTGTTATAATACCCTCTTTAAACCGAAAACACTAAACTAAGAAGTCATCTTGCTCCACAAATTATTATCCGTCAGCATGCATCATCGTCGCTTCCATAAACTCCAACAAATAATAACAAAAAGCAGGCTCCAGTCACGATCATTAAAAGAAAAGTTACCCCTACCTTGAGCGTTAGTGATGAGCCACTCATGGGTAGGTATAAGCATAAAATTTCTTTGCTTATCAGCTTGGATTAGCTTCCTCCAAATATCAGCAGCAAAAGGGCAATGGCGAAGAACATGGCTTATATCCTCATCTCATTACTGGCATAACTCGTATCTTGTAGATGATGCAATGTGTCTACGAAACCTTTCCTCGTTTGTTAACAACCTCACATGCAAGACCACCTAAATGAATACCTTTAACCTCTATGGGGTGTTTAGTTTCCTGACAAAGCTCCTTTGCTCTTCATTGTTCGCATCCACTTGATTGTCCAAGAACATATAGGCCGACTTAATTGAGAAATTATGGCTAGCCTCCTATCTCCACCTGGGCACGTAGTCACCAGGACCTGCATTGGGCGGATTAATAACAGTAATATTGTTACACACTAGTTCAGGCAAAACAATATTTAAAACAGGACAGTTTCACTCTCTAGTGGCCATAGAGTGAGACATAGTACAGACATTCACTGATTGCGGATTTGGATCGGAACGAAAGTAATGAGCTAGTGGTTCGAGTCCATCAATCCAATTATCGTACCAAAAATTTGAAATAGAGCCATTCCGGATATTCCAAAAGATACTATAACGCAAATCTTCCCAAACACAACTCAGTCCCTTCCATAGCCTTGAGCTTCTTTTCCTACCGATTGTTTCTGATAAGTGAGCATTCCGTTGGTATTTACTGTTCATTGTCCTAACCCACAACTTGTCAGCTCCTTCAATCAACTGCGTCCCTATCTCCATTAGGAAGGCTTGATTTTGTTGACTCAAATCTTTGAAGCCTAAACCTCCTTCCTTTATCTGAAGTTTAACGATCTCTCATTTAATTAAAACCAAATTGTTAGCCCCCCCATTAGTATTCCACACAAAATTACGGATTAACTTCTCTAAGCTCTGACAAATTTCTTTTGGAAGCCAAGTAGCCTGTATAGCATAGGACGGGATAGCTTGTAAAACAGCCTTCGCAAGGGTGTTTCGTCCCGCTAAGGATAAAGATTTGGCAGCCCAACCAGACAGCCTCTGTTCCACTTTTTCAATAAGGTATCTATAAGTATCTTTAGTCACTCTATTATGTAGCAACGGTACCTCTAAGTACTTTCCTAAGTTAAACACGACTTCAAATCCGAGACCTTGAGTAACTGAAATCCTTACGTTATCACAACAATTCTTAGAGAAAAGAATCTTTGTTTTCTCATTGCTAACACGGTGGCTCGAACACGCACAAAACCGTTATATTACCTCTTTGATGACCATCGCTTGCTCAATTGAATCTTAGAAAAGAATTAAATTATCCGCAAAGAACAAGTGTGATATCCTTGAGCCGTTGCGGGAGAGATGAATCTGTTTCCAAGCTCCTTCCTTCACACGTTTATTAATAGCATCAGAAAGACGCTCCATACACAGAACGAATAAGTATGGTGAAAGGGGATCTCCTTGACGGATAGGGGATTGAATCCTTCTTGACACATTCTCATTCCAAAGAACCTTAGTGGATACCGTCTTAACACAACACATAATTCACCCAATAAATTTGTTAGGCAGTCCCAAATCAATGATCGTTTCTTTAATAAAATCTCATTCCAACCGGTCATAAGCTTTCGTCAAATCCACTTTGATTGCCATCCAATCTTTAGCTCCATACTTGATATCCATCGAGTGAATCACTTCTTGTGCAAGAATTATATTGTTCGTGATATGTCTTCTAGGAACGAAGCTCGATTGATTAAGAGAGACCCAGTCTGGTAGGAATGATTTTAGCCAATTGAGTAACAGTTTAGTGATTATTTTGTAAGGTACCGTACATAAATTTATTGGTCTGAATTGAGAGATTTTTTTTCAGGATTTTCCATCTTCAGAATCACAACGAGCAGGGTCTTATTCGCCTCCTCATGTAGAATACCATGTTAAAAAAATCTGCCACAAAATGAAATAAATTATCGGCCAACACACTCCATTTTTTTAACCCTTTTTGGTAACCTGATATGTCAGGAGACTTTAAAGGATCCATCATAAACAGAGCTTGCCTCACCTCCTCAGGCTAACTTCACGCACCAGTACCTTGAGGCGATCCCTCTCAAAATGTTTAAAGCCTTCCGAAAACTCATTTGAAATAGTTCAGCGAGCTTTGGAAGTAAATAGACTCTGAAAAAACTATCTGCATGGTTTCGAAGTGCCTCAGGGTCATTTCACCATCTATCATCTTCAATTTAGAGCATACGAATAGAGTTATGGTGTCTTCTATTCAAGGTCATGGAATGAAAATACCGAGTGCTGCGGTCGCTATTAGCAATCCACTAATTTCTAGAATTTTTGCACCAAAATTTTTCTTCCTGATCAAGTACCAAATCAAGCTCTTTTTTTAGTGTTTCCTCCAAATCCATCAATAATGGAGAGTCTGTACTTTCAAGAGCCATCTCGATACCTCAGATTTGAGCGAGAAGGAGTGTCTTTCTTCTACCAATGTGGCCGAAAACCTCCCTATTCCATTAACGGCAATCCCTTTGCAAGCTCAGCATATTATCAAACATTAGAGCATTCTTGTTCCAAGAATTTTCCAAGAATTCCCCAAAATTCGGATGTTCATTCCAAGCAACTAAAAACCGGAAAAGATGGCTATCACTTCTCGCTTTCATCATGTCCGTAGTAAGCATAATTGGTTTATGGTCTAAGCCTATCCTCTGGAGATGAATAACCTCAGTTGTACTGGCACTTTCAGACCAACTCGCGTTATATAAGCATCGATCTAGCCGT